TAGTACCTCTCTCGGTTGATTCAAAGGAAGGATTGTTTCCTTTGAAGGATTCGTTGAGGTTCGTGTGACTCGAACTCTCAAGTTGTAACGGTTTGTGAAGCACCCGCAAGCTTAACGAGATAGTAGTGTAGCTCGAGAGAGTCTCTCGGGAGGCTGGATTAGCCACAAGTTGTGGTGAACCAGGGTAAAATTCGGTGTGCCTTTTTCTCTTCCCTTTACTTCCATTTTAATTTTTTAATTCCTGCGATTTCTCCGATCAAACACTATTCACCCCCCCTCTAGCGTTGGTCTATTATTTTAACAATTGGTATCAGAGCCTAACTCGCGTCCAAACTTAACCGTTTGAGGGTAAGCGATCATGGGTTCTTCTTCTAGAAATCTCTATGCCGGAATTGGAGAAGGTCAGTCTACGTCTAGGCCACCACTCTTTGATGGCACCAACTATTCCTATTGGAAGGAACGAATGAGAATCTACATCCGTTCCACCAACTTCCAATTATGGTTGGTCATCAAAAATGGAGAACAAATTCCAATGAAGAAAGTAGGAGAAACCACGGTCCCAAAGACCGAGGACGAATTTGATGCCGAGGACATCAAAAAGCTGGAGAACTACGCCAAGGCTATCAATATGCTGTACTGTGCCGTCAATCCTGATGATTATCGCAAGATTTCTTGCTGCACCACTGCAAAAGAAATGTGGGACAAACTGGAGGTCACATATGAAGGTACGGACCAAATTCGGGAAGCCAAAATTGACTTCCTAACGCAGGAGTACGAGATGTTCAGGATGAAGGAAGGCGAAAAGATCAATGACATGTTCGATCGGTTCTCAAAAATCATCAACGACCTTCATGCACTCAAGAAGACTTACACCAACAAGGATCTTGTGAGAAAAATCCTGCGAAGTCTCACACCCGAATGGAGATCAAAGGCAGACGCAATCTATGAATCCATCGGAGTCTCGAATGTCACCATCGACGGGCTTAGAGGTAATTTCAAAACCTATGAATCTACTATTCTAACACCGTCTTTGGATGAACAAAAGAAGAAGGGTATAGCGCTGAAAGCAACCAAGGAGTCCGTGGAAGATGACTCAAGCGATGATGACAACGAGTTCGGACTCGTTATCAAGAAGTTCCACAAATTCATGAAGAAAGAATTTGAAAGAAAAGGAAGAAAGCACGACGGGCCCCC